GTGTGTGTGTGTGTGTGTGTGTGTCTAGGGGGATCCTCTGTGGAGTGCCAGGCTCTTGCACACAGATCCTCAGGCTATAAAAAACGCTCATTACAGGTGAGTTCATGTGAAACCTGGAGGTGAGTCAGCAGCTGACTAGTTTATTATAATGCTAGTTTCTGAGCTCACATTTTCAAATACAAGTTTGAATTGTTTGGATCGATGTTAAATCACAGTAATGTGAATGTTTGGATTGTTGCTCAGAGGAAACACAACATCCAAGGATTTTTTTGTTGTTAACTGTTACGTTTCACTGCCCAGAAAAGCTCAACAGCAGTTTTATCTTCACGTATCGTTGCCCATGAGCAGGTTTCTCCTCAGTGGCGCTGATGTCATCACGACAGCGACGTACCAGGCGAGCATCCAGGGCTTCATGGACCACCTGAACCTGAGCCCTGATGGTGCCAGAGAGCTGCTGATGTCCGGGGTTCATCTGGCCAAAGAGACGGCTGACAGCTTTCAGTCCGGTAACAAACTCAGAGCAGGTTTTAAAGTCTGAGCCGAGCTGCTGACTCGCTGCCATCTTTGTTTCTTAAAGGGGAGAGAAGTCCTGTTGTGGCGGGCTCAGTCGGACCATACGGGGTCTTTCTTCACGACTGCTCAGAGTACACTGGAGCTTACGCAGAGGAGATGAGTGTCGAAGTGAGCTGCTCTAATCTCTACTGATTTAGTAAAACTGTAAAAACTTTACTCCACAGACYGACTGCAAACCTTTACTGTCCTTCTGTTTTTGTGGCAAGTTTTAATTTGACCTCTCACAGCTTTGTCTATGCAAAACATCATCAAAATATGCAGCTCAGTCCATTATAGTTGTGGATTTTAGTGTTTTGTACAATACTGACAAAAAAATCAATCAAGTTACACAACAAGTGATGAAATGCAGTCTCTAGAAGAGTACAGCTGCACAGGACAAACATCACAATTTTAACGGGTCGTAGRAAACTGGGGCCTCATGYATAAACGGTGCGTACACATAAAAAAGTTACGTGCGCCAGGTTCTACGCCCACGTTGTGATGTATAAAAACCAACGTTGYGTGAAAGTGTGCGTATATTTACACACACTTTTCACCTGCTGTGAGAATGTGCGGCAGCCACRCAAAGTTTTTYMRSC